TTCACTGTCATTTAGGAGTTAAATCACATTGTTTCTGTTTATGCAGCCCTAGCCACACCTACCCTGGCTATGAGTGACAGAGCCTGCATGAAAACAAAACTGGTTTAACTTTCAAACAGATGTAATTTACCTTAAATAAATGTATCTCAATCTCTAAATCGAACTTTAATCACATACAGGAGGCTCTTGCAGGGTCTAGCAAGGTATTAACATAGCAGGGGATAAGAAAATCTTAATTAAACAGAACTTGCAATAAAGAAAGCCTAAATAGGGCTCTCTTTACAGGAAGTGTTTATGGAAGGCTGTGCAAGTCCCATGCAGGGAGGTGTGACTAGGGTTCATAAACAAAGGGATTTAACTCCTAAATGGCAGAGGATTGAGCAGTGAGGCTGCAGGGGCATGTTCTATACACCAAAACGGCTTCATTAAGCTAAAGTTGTTCAGGTGACTATAGTGTCCCTTTAAGGTGAGAGTGTGCCCAGGGCCTCCCGGAACCATAACAACTTAATTCAGGTGAAGTGGTTATGGTGCCTAGAGTTGTTTTGGTGCTTAGAGTGTTTGGCCACAAGATCTCCAGCTGGTGCAACCATTTCTATAGATACAAATTAAAAAAAAAAAAAAAAATTTTTTTTAAAACATATTCGGCAATTATTTGTAATTTTTTTTTTCGTTTTTATTTCTTTATAAATAGTGTGTCTGTGTCACAGCTACATTGGACTACAACACCCGTGATGCTCAGGAAGCCGCGCTGGGCTGGAGAACCAATGGCCGGCCAGCTCACTGACACGCGGCTCAGGCCCCGCCCTGACCACGAGCCCCGCACACGTCACGGAGCAGAACATTCCATCCGCGCGCTGGCGGGTGAGGTCACACACGGGGCAGCCAATGACAGCGCGTCACCTGACCGGCGCGAGGCTACATCAGTGCGCAGGCGCAGTCGGCCGCCATGTTGGAGCGAAGGACCATGCGGCGCATGCGCGAGTCGTGCCAGAGAAGGGTGTGTGTGTGTGTGTGTGTGTTCGTTCGCTGGAGGAGGAGGAGGCGAAGGGGGGGGGGGGATGAGAGACAGGCGAGCAGCAGCCTCCGCTCTGAGGGCACGGCGCGCGGACACGGAGTTACGTCAGATGGAGCTGAGGAGACTGGGGGCTGAGGGGGGGACCATGCACTCAGCCCACTCACCTCCCCGATCGGCCAACCCCGGGACCCGGATACTCTCTCTCTCCGTCAGCAACTCGTCAGGTCACCGGCGCGCGCCTGCTGCCGTGATTCCATCCATCTTGAATTTGACGTCATCCCACACCAGAGATGAGGTCATCGCACGGAGCGCTCGTCACGTGCGCGGCATTCCGATTGGACGGAGCTCCAGGGGGCGGGAAAACAGGGGGGAGGGGCCAAGAGAGACTCGCTGAGCGTGCCATATACAGGGGACCACACTGACTGACACTGAGAGACAGACACTCTGTGAGAGAGAGAGAGAGACTGACACTGAGAGTGCCATATACAGGGGACCACACTGACTGACACTGAGAGACAGACACTGTGTGAGAGACTGACTGACACTGAGAGTGCCATATACAGGGGACCACACTGACTGACACTGAGAGACAGACACTGTGTGAGAGACTGACTGACACTGAGAGACAGACACTGTGTGAGAGAGACTGACTGACACTGAGAGTGCCATATACAGGGGACCACACTGACTGACACTGAGAGACAGACACTCTGTGAGAGAGAGAGACTGACACTGAGAGTGCCATATACAGGGGCCCACACTGACTGACACTGAGAGAGAGAGAGAGAGAGACTGACACTGAGAGTGCCATATACAGGGGACCAGACTGACTGACACTGAGAGAGAGAGAGAGACTGACACTGAGAGTGCCATATACAGGGGACCAGACTGACTGACTGACACTGAGAGTGCCATATACAGGGGACCACACTGACTGACACTGAGAGACAGACACTGTGTGAGAGAGACTGACTGACACTGAGAGACAGACACTGTGTGAGAGAGAGACTGACACTGAGAGTGCCATATACGGGGGACCACCCTGACTGACACTGAGAGAGAGACAGAGAGACTTACACTGTGTGAGAGAGAGAGAGAGACTGACTGACACTGAGTGTGCCATATACGGGGGACCACACTGACTGACACTGAGAGTGCCAAATACGGGGGACCACACTGACTGACACTGAGAGTGCCATATACAGGGGACCACACTGACTGACACTGAGAGTGCCATATACAGGGGACCACACTGACTGACACTGAGAGAGACTGATTGACACTGTGTGAGAGACACTGTGTGGATAACAGACACTGTGTGAGAGAGAGACTGGGGGGATAACAGACACTGTGTGAGAGAGAGAGACTGGGGGATAACACACTGTGAGAGAGAGAGAGACTGGGGGATAACAGACACTGAGAGAGAGAGACTGGGGGGATAACACACTGTGTGTGAGAGAGAGACTGGGGGGATAACAGACACTGTGTGAGAGAGAGAGACTGGGGGGATAACAGACACAGA